AATCATAACACACAAACTACTCACATGTCCTAGAAAACAATTGATTCACCGTATTCGCCTGCCACAGCACTTGCGAAACTATGATACCAGCCTACACGATTACGACGGTGTTCATCTGCCTCATTCCCCTAACCAGTATTTGGGTATATAGCATGGATATGTTTCACTGAATACACTGAGTACATATGCTTCTCGCATCTCTCCACACACGAAGTCATGCAGTGCCAATTGATAGGATAGACGGGAAATTTTCCCCAACACAAAATAGCTTTCCAGATTTATTTGACAGCCATTACACAAAAACCATTGAACAAATTGATCACGAACTATATTAGTGTATATGCTTCAATCAAAAATAAAAGTATTATTCAGATTTTCGCAGACATCTTCCACTCAGTAAATCCAAACTAAAGCAAACCGTGTGTGCTTTCGTAAACTATTCAACTGCTAGTATGAAAAACTTGCTGTCACCTGTCGTCCACAAACAACTTTGCTCTGCATTCGCAGAAAAAACTGAACTGTTTCACAGCAGCCGTGAATGGGAATTACCTCGCCTAGCATTTTTCTATCGACCACGTTCTCCTCGTACCGTTTGGTCAACTCTTTCGTACTGGACTGGATCGCTTCCAAATCGCGTAGCGCCTTGTGCAATTGCGTTTCAGTCTGTGCGTGCTGCATCTCTGTCAAGGCCGCCTTGTCCAGTCGTTGACCAAGCTGTTGGCAGGGTGAATTTGAAGGTGATGCACAAAACACAAAAGTTCTAACCCCGGTACCAGCTGTTCATACAGGCAACAGTGTGAGACACATGGCTTGTTCTCGATATCCACTGTAGTGCTTTTGAATTGCATAAATTCAAATGCGCCAACAAAATCACAAGCATACATGGGAATTTTAAGGTCGATGAAAAATGCATTGGAACGGCAGAAACGTAACTCACAGAAAACTTGGTACTTGCATACAGTTCTATGAATCAGCAACCATGAGGTCTTGTATTTGGGTCGCCTGAGGGTCTCACAACCACTTCACCTAACAGCAAGATGACACACTGTTCTATTCCCTCATAGATTTGTTTTAATCGCGGCACTTTTACGTTTCCATTACTTGCTAGTTCTCCATCCACATCCATGGATGCCTGATGAAACCGAAACCGCCGAATAATTTCGTGCTAGCTCCTGACACCACGGGTGACACATGTCATGCACAGAACAATTCTTGCTTGAACCACAAACGAAATACTCAGAAAATATACCTTCATGGAGTTTTATACACGTCTATCAATTATTCGCATAATCCTGGTAAATACACTGAAATGAACTGAATCCTATCGTTGCCTGGGACATCAAAATCGGGGTATTTTCAATAGCACCGAGAAACATGTGGTGTGTGTATATTGGTACTTCACTGGTGTAATCCCAGTACTGTAACTTATACTGTTGAATCCTATTCACTTACGAGCCACAGATACACTTGGTTCTCTCCTCCCGACTTTAATCTCCTCGTGCACCGTTAAATTAGCATCACTGATGTGCGAATAGATTTATTATCGTTTTCACGTGAATTGTTTTTTGTTTCACTTCCATCCATCTTCTTACTCTTTCCAAGGCCCAAATGATGCTCATGTTTGAGACCGGTACTCCTATTGTCTACTCACCATACACCCCACTCCGACAATTACAGTATAATCTGAGCTAGGTGTCTTGGATTTTAAGTGGTCATTCTCATTTTTTTGGCCTGCGAAATGCTCTCATACAATC